ACTTTATATAGAATTAAGTGATTGATAAGAGTCAAAGATAAGTAAAACAAAAAGATGACCTAGTTATTAACTATCATAACTTCAAATTAATCTATATTTATTTAATTGAAAGAGAAATAACATATCATTAACAGATCACCTGTTATTTCATGGAATGATGAGAATATGAGTCTTAAACTAAAAAATTCCCTAAGTAATAATGCCTGCAAGCAATAAATAATATTAGAGTTTAGGATTTTAATGTATCAAACATGTGGCATGATTCTAAACGTCAGATTAGCCATAGAGACAAGGTTAACTTTTATTGAGACTGAATATAAGAATATTTGATATGTATTTAAAGATTTAGCATGTAGTTATGTATTATGAACCAATGAATTTAGTGATACCATTTAAGCAAGTAAATTCAAATATTTGTATTGTTGTTTTCGCACCTAATGATCATATATATATAATAAACAAACAATAATTTAACTTAACATTGAATTCAATAAGAAATGGTAAATATTGCTTCTGCTGTGGTGTGTGCTACTGATATCGACAGATGTTAGTAGTATGTATCATTAATCGAAGGTGAAATGTTTGGTGGAAGAGGGTTAAGATGATTCAAGAAAATAAAATGAGAACAGAGAATAATTGGCGTGGAAACCAAAGAATAATCAAGTCTTTAATCTTAAACATTATTAAAAGTGAAATGGAAACAACGAGAAAATTACAGGCTGAAATTTTGTTCTAGTTTATTATTCCATTACATTAATTAAACAAATAAGAATGAATAACAGTTATAAGTAAAACAATGGTAAATATTGCTTCTGCTGTGGTGTGTTCTACTGATATCGACAGATAAAAGTAGTATGTATCTGACGGGAGAAGATTGAGTTGATTGAACAATAGAGAATGAGAACAGAGAATAATCGGTATATGGAAACTAAAGAATAATTAAGTCTCTAATCTTAAACATTATTAGAATTGAAATGGAAATAATCAGAAAATTACAGGTTGAAACTTTGTTCTAGCTTATTATTCCATTACATTAATTAAACAAATATAGATGAATAACAATAGAATAATAAATCTAGCAAACAAAGTCATCCATTATGAAATACATTTTCATGCCTAATTTCTTTACCTGGAATTGAACAATCAAGTAACTTAGGGTATATGATTTATTAAATAGGTGGTTTAAAGGTGATTTAATAAATCAATATGTCTTGTCTGCTTAGAAATGATTACGTAACTAGTATAGTTTAATAGGAAGAAACAAAATAATACTTTTATTATTTGTAATATGTAATTTCTTTTTAGGAACGCATCTTTTCGCCTCTATGTTTTTCTCTATACAAGACTAAATCAACTGTATAATTGTTTAGAGTGTTTTGTACTTGTCAAGTAAATAATTACTTTAAATATTGGGAAAGATTTATAGCTCAGGTAGATGATTTTGATGAAGTTTTGTTATCTGAATTAAATGGTTTTGTTGTGGAGCTTTCATCGTTATTCTGAACGATATCACCATTCTCAGAATAACGACGAAAGCTCTACGATAAAACTAATCAGTTCAGAGAATAAAACTCCATCAAAATAATCACTTATTCAATTCACTTTGACAATAGAACCAATACCAATAATACATGAGAATCTAACTCAACTGATATCTAATGAGAGATATTATTTTCTACAAAATTTGAAAAGAATATTTCTTGATAAATAACATTTTAATGTCTATACCGATTATGATTGCCATGATTAGATTGCTTTGCAAACTATTCCACTCATTTTAAAAGACAAATCGTTACTGTTATCCCATAAACGATGTATCTAGACTAGATATTGAATCAAGTAGTTTGACATGATTTACACAAAGTTATACAAAACAATGTAAGATATAGGTTTTATTTAATTTTAGTCTCTTCTGTTTATAAAATGGAAATATAATTATGAGGTGGATAAGGGTTTTATCTCGCAAATTGATTTTTTTTTATTGTGATTACCTAGCTACATATATTTGTTGAATACCACACGTTTTAAGCAAGTTATCTTACGAAGTAATCAAACTTACTGATTGCAATGAAAAAAACAAGCGTTCCTTAAAACATCTTGGTAACTTTTTATTAGAGGAAAGTATATGAATAGAGTATCACTTTTTTTTAATATCAATTAATACGTAAAATTCATGCATAAAGTCCGAAATGTACGTTAAGTTGTGATTATTTGATAATTTTATCATCCTATTAGAATGTAAAGTATCAGTTAACCTTTGTTGTTTGTATCATTATTGATGTAATTTTGTTTTTTGACAATTAAGTCAATTTTCTGTTAAAATAATAGAAACAACTAAAAAAACAAAATTGAACATGATGGCTCAGCTCTTGGTTTTTATAAACGTATGGTGTTCAACTTCTGAGACTAGATACAAAGTTACAAATGCTTTTGAGAAAAACGATACTTAAAACATTTTTTTACAACGCTATTAAACGTGTTCCATTTCAGGGGGGGGTCTGGTTAGAAATATATGTAAGCTAAGTCGAAGATCTCATATCAAGTTCAATGTTTTTTCGTAAAAACATGAACTCTGCGATTTTGCTATATGCACTAGAATATATATGCTAAATTTTTTTCGTGTTTTGTTAATAAAATGAAACGATATGAAACTTTGTTTAAATTTGGTTAGAGGGCTAGTTTTCACATATACTTTATTTTATTCAGCATTTCGTGATAGGAGCCCTCTTTTATCGATAAAGTATTAATTTGCTGAAGAACAAAATATGTATTTTGTTTGATATCACTTTTTATGATGATGTTTTTATCTCTATAGGATATCAGTCATGCTCTGCAAATAATCTTTAGATTCCAGTTATACTATGGGAGATTCCACCACTTCGGACCGATAGGACAGGCAGAAGCAATATTAAAGTTTATAGCAAAGATTTTTCATTTTGTACTTCGTTTCAAGCAAACAGTAATGGATTTAGAAAACAATTAAATTTTTATTTTCAAGAAAGTGAGCTAAATTTAGAAGTTGATTGATTGTATTTGTCTTATAAAAAAGCTTGAATATTAGTTAATCTACTTAAGTTTAGCTTGAGCTCAGTTTTAACCTCCAGTAGAAATCACGAACCGGCAATTTATTTTCAGTGACCTTCTTTTCATCACAGCTACTTGGTGTAGAAAGGTTTCGCTCTCAATGCAATAAGTGGTCATATTAAATCACATTGTCAGATACCTACTATCAACTAGACTGAAAACTTCTGTTTATAAGTACACCACATAACACACCTCTTAGTTGCCAAAGAAACTTGGAGGGTGCATAATAACTTCTTGCTTAATACACCCTAAAAACCTATGTTTGGGCTCATTTTTATAAATAATAAATGACTGTTCAGAATGGTTGTGAAATCACCCTACTTAAAACCCGCATGATTGAAAAATTAGCAAAGAGTCACATTTATTTAGTCCCATTCAAAAATATAAGCCTTAATTAACTCAACCTTGAAGGGGAAGCCATGTTTATTTATAGACATTTTTATGAAATGACATGTGTAAATAACATCATTTTGTTGTAAAATCTGCTTTACAAGCTTTACGGTACCCTATATAGCGTTTATTATGACTTGATCGGATCCGTTGCCATCCGGAAAATAATCTCTGAGGAAATATACATTGATTTTTAAGTAATTTGTTGAACTAAAATGAGCGCAAACAGACATTGTCATTTTTAATCCAAATATTATTATTGTGTAATCTGCTGGACCAGATGGAGTGCGTCCTAGATTACTAACGAGGCCCAAATACCTCATCATAGACTCATCAAGTATATGTTTTAAGCTATTTGTAACCCAAATTAGATTACTAAGTGACTAAAAGATTACCGTAGTTACTCCCATCTTCAAAACAAGCATGAGACATAAACTTGAAAACTATCTTCCCGTAAGCTTAACTAATCTGTTTATTAAACTTATAGAAAAATTGTTCACGACGAGTTGTTTGAGTCATTAGACAAAACCTGACTCCCTCAAAAAAGCAACATGACTTTGAAAAACAGGTATTCCACGACTCATAAACTTATTAGTAGTCTGGAAGCTAGTGTTCTCTTAATAACCAAAAGCTACCAATGGTTTTAACATTCGTCGACTTCAGTAAGGCTTTACGCAAAGTTCTGTATGACACGCTGTTGTCTCAGTTGATTGGTATCGTAATCGGATGTGATTTACTTATGTGGATGAATGATAACCTATTTAAAAATCAAAAATGAGTAGGCGTTAAATCCAAGTCATTTTCTCAGAAAACTCTGCTAAGCGGAGTGTCTCAGGGTAAAGTTTTGATACCAGTACTACTCTTCATGTAAGTAAATAACTTTATAGGAATAAGATCAAACTAGTTTATAGGGACACACAAATGTTTATAAACCCAGAAGCAATTACTCACAAGCATGCTACAGGCTTTCTTATCGAATCACTAACCAATGGAAGTCCATACCCTAACACGTCATTGAATCTCTATCTGTCGAGGCATTTAGCAAAACGTTTGATCAACTAAGAAACTACTATTTCGGCACCAATAAAGAACACGCAGTTCCTATTCTTCCTAAAATGAAACTGAAGCCCGATAGAAGGATTGTTTGGTTCAAAATCGGTTTTTAAACTTGAGCTCCTGGCAGAACCAGAAAATAAATCCTGTAAAAAAGATAAACGTTTCAAAAATCGAAACATCAAATCCTTGCATTTTGTATAACTCCATCTCAGATATTAATTCATAGAAAACCTCTCAAGAAATATTTACTTTGCTAACATACCGCAGCTCATCAAACATTCAGTTAACTCAAATTACACTGTATTTACTGGGGATTTCTGCTAATTCAGAAAATGTTGTGTAAACTCGATGACGACAAAATAGTATTTTTGTGACAAACATGAATAAACCAGATGATCCCTTCTTTAAAATTCAAAAGGCACCATTTTTACGACCGTCTTACATCCAGTACAAAAAGCACTTAGACTTACCGATGGGATCAACATAGTCGAAGTGATCAACGAAAGTTCTTCGATCCAAAAACAATGACAACTAATCTAACATTATTCAGCACATCGTAAATTTACCTTTCCATCAGGGGTCGCCTTCTTTAAAACACTGGGTAATTTTAAAATAAGTTAATTTAATCTTACTCGAAGCAACGTGTTTCCGTCCCTTTAGACATAATTTTGGTTGTGGCACGATAACAGAGTCATTATCAAAACTTTTAACTATGCTCACAAAAGTCAAGGTCGAATGCCTGTCCGTTTAGCGATTACAACAACACACAATAACTTCTTATGTCTAGAAATATGTGAACTAGTCCTCATTAATTAAACTAAAATAGAAACCTTCTTTAAGTATTTCTAGCATTCCAAGATTTTCACTGAACGCGGGCCTTTACTTGTTACAACCTTTTATTTAACGTATAGTGTTAAATAAATTCCCAAACTAAATACTTCTGAAAGTCTTTGACATTAATTCTGATATCCTTAATTTTGCTGGAAACATCCCAGGTGCATCCGCATCAGATTACAGTAGGACACACTGTGTTACTCATTTCTTGCAACAACCAGCCAGTTTAGACCAAACGATCCTCAATAGATCTACAACCTTCCAAATATATTTTCCAACTCATTCCCCCCTTACTTCTGATTTAAGCAGGTTGGTATCGTTCGATTATCAGTGTGTTGCGGACAAAGGCGTGGTTGAACCCCGAATATCTATGGGATTATTGAACCTGTAATCTCTGATATTATCACGTATGTTGACTTACTTTAAATATTCGAAGTGTCCCTAAAATAAATGAGACATCCACAGATCCATCTGTTCAAATAAATTTCTTGAATCATAAGAAGGGATTAAACTGAATTATCTTGTCCTGCAAGATCATATGATGACCAATAGTTGTCATAAATGACCCTCAGACTTCCAGTAGAAGAAAACTACACGAACAAATAGGAATATAGGATAGTAAATAGAATCCAGTATTTTGACGCAATGAAGCATTTGTGCTAATTGATGATTCCTTTGTGCTTGCTTGTGCTCTGATACTAATTATGAGCATTGTACGCCCAGTTTTGTTCGTCTAGACCAGCTTGCCTTTAATTGCTCTGTTTTGAGAATTTTCGGTTATCGAATCTGTTCGACTAGCTATATAAAAAATCTCAGGGGGTAATTCTACTCATCAGTGGTTCATTTCGGCTATGTTCATCTCAATCTAGTATACTTCAACTAAAATTAAACTTCCCTTAGGCTTGAATCATCTTGCATCGTAGTGAGAAGATAGGGTTCTACTCTTAATTCTCTGTAGTCGTAATATACTGAAAGTTATTTTTGGGTGTGTAACAGCTTAGGGTAGGTAGTTATAAGTCAGCTGGGTGCCCTTAATTAAGATTAATTATTTAGTTACCATGTTATTGTAAGTTGGAACGATAATGCCAACTATGTAATATTAAATGTCGAGAGGCATTTCTATTTAAATTAGAACCTCAATATCCGGTCCTTCTACGGGCGTGCGACACTGCGAGCACACTACAGGTGTATTCACATGTGACACAGGTCTGGGGCACATAGGGCGTTTGGAGCCCTCATCTATGAGCTACTTAAGCATTATTTCTGTCTACCACTATTAGCCAACGATTTTGAACGATCTCTTCTAGTAAAATACGATTATAATAGTCTAGGTCGTTCAGTCTTGCTCATCGTATCCAGGAAGCAAAAGAATAATATTCAAACGTATTAACTTCTACAAAATTCCACAAAAAATAAAAATACCACTGAATTTCATCTGTGATCAGGATGACTCCTAATAGTCGACGGTTTAAGTGCCATCAAACATCGAGACATAAGTACAGGCATTTGACAAAGTAAGAGTAGAAAGAAACTAATCAAAATGCTCGAACCTCCGACAATTGTGGTATATCGTCACCCTCCAGAGTCGGACTGTTATGTTTCAAACGAGGATTATGCACTCGATATCCAACAATAGCAGCGGCTGCCACAAAACCTAAGCGGTTGCAAACAGCACCGTTTATTATGTTCCGGTTTCCTCATCTGTTGCACCTTACAAAGACTACCCCCCCACTTGGTGTCTGTAAACCTCAGAAGCCAAGAAATGTCAATCGAGGTTCACTGGTTCAGTCATCGCATAAGACACAGACTGAACAGTTATGTCTGGCGTTTTGCCAGTATTTGGTGAATAAATCTTGTGAGCGCTGAGTATGTTACCTAGATCTGTTCCTGCCGAGCTCTAAGGAGGATATAAACTGGCTTAATAATGATGAAAAAATCAACCTAGTATTTCCCCCTCATATATTTTAATAGAACCCCCACTTCTGCATTTTGCGAGGTTTTTCTCAAGTGATCACACATTAAAAACTGAATACGTGAGCAAGGCTGATGTTATTGGACATTACGCTGCTTGCGATAAGTCTCTTTACGTCCAACAGTGTAGCACTTTTTACAATAATGGTTTTCAAACGGACAGGAACTTGAAAATGCGATTTATCACAATGCCAGAATATGGATAGGGGTCTTTAGACTTCTCTCTGATGATTTATCTTGCAACGATGTGAATTTTGGGGTCTTGGAACCAGGACGGATTTCACTTTGAACTGCCTAAGTTTTGTTAATCGTTCAAGTCCTCAAGCGACGTTTCAAGTGTCAACATTGGGTCCTGACTAAGACTATGTAACAGACATGCGCGAATATAGACAATTTTTTCTGATTGTAGACCACGAGTGAGTTCTAATGATTTTGATTGGTAACAAAAAGGAATTTTTCATTTAAACCGTTCACTCTCCCGGTTCATTATTCCAACATATGTGAGAAAACCGTCCTCCTTGTCCATTACTAGCCTCATGCATCAATATCGAAGATCAAAAATCGAAGACTGATCACCAAACACTTGACTGAACGAAGTGATGGTGTCTGTAGAGTTCTTTTTCACGTGAATTTTAAAGTATTGTTGCAATTTCTGTCAAATTATGTGGTGCCGAATTTTCGTAAATGAATACGTGCTTCCCAAGAATCTTCTTGGTCTCCGGAATCAACATTAAACGTGTCTCCGTGACGGCGAAACCAGGTGTCAAATATTACGTCTAAATATAGGTCTTAACTATACTCAGCAATCTGATTGATGTCATTACGAGCTTGAATTCAGGTGTGGATGTTTATGGTGTTGTGTTCTTTGTAATTTGTATACTTGGTTACAAATCAATCAGTTTGACCTGTTGTTCCATTGGGTGCTCACCCTTACCATTAACACATCTAACAGCCATACCCGTCGCCAATTGTTGTGTTTTGTTATCAGGGTTCAGTACGGTTGACGTTGTTACGAATCTAGAAATGACAACAACTGAGCTGCTCTAATACAACCGGTTTTATTCGAAACTGACAACAATCAATTATGCTGAACACACCACACCTCGACGGCTAACACAGGAAGAAGACGGAACTGTGGATAGCTTGATATGTGATAGGACGAGCAAACCAAACTAAATTGGCACGAAAGTTGTTGTTATGGTAGCGAAATATGACCTTCAGACATGTAGCATTTTAGCGAAGTACGAAATATGACAACCAATCAGAGGGAAACGGTTGGTAAAAAGTAATGACAATAATTATATATTTCTGCAATGACAGGTATACGCCATTTTTACATGAATGATCTATAAATTACAACATTTAGTGTATCATGGCATGCACGTTAAACAAATATAGTCTATAAAAGTGAACATCAGTTTGTTCCTCCAGATATCCTGAGTACGTCTAGTTTGTTCCAGATGTCTGAAGTTCCATAACTGTCCCCTCAGAACGTGATTCTGAAAGAAAAAAGACAAACCGAGGAGCAGCAATGCACTTGGATACGAACGATAAACAACACTTAGCATTTTGTAGTGAAACAGACAGAGGTACGATAAATTATTAGATTGAATTCATACTAACTCTTGTAGCTAAAATGAAATGCGATCAGAGGCTCCAGATGAGAGAATGCAGTAATAAAGAACAATGAGCTGTGATATGCACCGGGGGGAGTAAGTTTAAATGAAGGAAGGGAAGTCAGGTTTGGAATAAGGAAGGCTGTTTATTAGAACAGAAATTGCATATCAAGAGCAAAGTGTTAAGAAAACTAACAGCCATGCATTTTATTGTCTAATTTTTTTTCATCCGATGCCTGCCACACAGTCCTAATGTAAGTCTTAGTTTGCATATTATAAGTTGTCATAGTAGAACAGCTAATTCAGCATAAAGTTGGAAACATGAATCTGAATGGTGAGCGTAGGAGAAAAACCTCAATGTCACAGATTAATTGACTTGTTCTGAAAAATAAAGAGTCTGATACAAAAAAAATGTTCTGCCATACAAACATGGGTGGATTGAGGTCATCGCCCTCATTATCAATGCTTGCTGGTCAGTAACTCCACCCCCCCTCCTTTTGGGATGTTAGGCTCATTTGAGCTTTTTTGGATATGTATCATACCTCACACAATGCTCTTTGTTTCACATCCTGTTGAAAAACACTATTTCTATAAGCACCATTTTACAAGCTTATCAGGCAGCTACAAATTATGGACTGTGGGTAGGTCGCAAATGCAATGCTTTAATTGACTATAGTATAGAGTATAGGTTGCCATTAAGAGTATAGGCTATAAGAAGGGTACATTATAGGATAGTTGTCTACCAAAGTAGGCAGAAAAGTATAGAAATATATGGGTTTTAAATAAGGTAACGAGTGGTGAAATAATATTAATGGCAAGTCAACATAGTGTACTGTAGAGTAGAAAACTGATAGAGAATATGCCAAAAGGAACTCACATTAACTTGGTGTTGATCTTATTTTGTTCTATCCTAACCGGTTGATGGGTAACAGGTTCCATAGGTGCAAGACCAGTGGTAGTATGCAGGCGATTGTGCGGTTATTTTGACTTTTAAGGGTAGTAGTGAGGGTCTCTTAGCTACCGAAATTCGATAAGTCCAGTGAGTTACCTGTCTACTTCAAGTAAAAAAATTAGGGAGAAAAAAGTATCTTATACATCTACAAAGCAGGAAAATAAGGCAATTTTTCTATGCATGAAGAGAGCCTATAATGTCTGAGTGGGACGCAGATGTGTTCGTTTTCGCTAAATCTGTGCAAGTGAAGGCTTGATCAATAAGCCCTACAAACGTATGTAAGTCATCTGACATGAGTATTTCAGAGGGAAGACTGTTCCATGTTAATGCATACTTAATGAGGAAGAAGTCTTTCCGAGTTTTTTATCTGTATTTCTCAACTTTGACCGTGGATACTTTGTGGAATAAGTAAGGTTTTTGGGGAGTTTGAAACAGAGAATGAAATTGAACCTAAGCCTTTTTTTCTAAAGAGGTTCT